GAAACTAAGAAAGAAACAGCTGTAATACATAATTATATGACCCGTTACATCATTAACACGTTCAGCATGACGCGCGTTTTATAGGCTTATATTCCAAAAACGGGAACATGTTTTCACATTCCACCCTGACGTTTACACTTAATATTGTGATCAACAACAATCCACCAATCAATCACTAACAGGAATGTTGACCTCCACTAGGTAGTTATCCAGGAAGCTTTGGTTGCTTAGTGTGGCTGCAATAGTTTCTAGTGTTCTTTAGCTGTATGGTGTACATCAGAGGAAGTGGGAATCACAAATTGAAGTCCGTAATGGCCAGGTATAGCCTACATGAATCAGCTATTTTCCGTCTGTCAAACTCAAAATGGCGAAAAAGAAGTCTCTGCAGCACAAACAAGCCAAAAACTAGTGATGCGATCAACTATTCCAAGTTTTGCGGCAGCATTTGGGAAAAGTCGAAGATCAACTATTCCGAATCATAGATTTTTGTTTATCTGCGAAAGAGAAACACCAAAAGCATGATTGTCATCCACCAAAAAATGAAGTTTCAAGTTCATTAATTAAATAATAATAACATGGAAAATTTGTAATTAATTATCAGCTTTTTGACCATCAAAATAACTTCAGTCTACAAACCACTTCTTTGAGCATATTTTCCCTGTACAAAGTAATTTCAAGCATGAAAATCGATACCAGTGCTTTCACTATCTCCATAAATAATATAAATTTTCTCTTTATATTAAACCGACCAGCCACAACCTTAATGTGTTCCCTTCAGTTAGCAACGCTTCCAATTGCAATGGTGTTAATTTACTTGAAGTACCTAGAAAATTCAATTTAGAAACAAAAGAAAAAGCATTCCTATCAAAACGACGTGCGAGTCATTGTTCTAGTTATAAGGAAAGCCAAAGCGAAATTCGTTAGATGCCTACTTCTTCGTAATGAGGTTGAGTAACAAAAAACAATGTTGTCAATATCATAATGCTGCATTTATATCAAAATGATAAAAGTTCTACTAACATTTCGTGCAAAAACCGTAGTATTTTTAAAATTACCAGAGCAAGAGAATTAACAATGATACCTGAAAATATCAATACGTACCACAAAGTCAAGTGGTAGTCCATCACCAATGGGAAGCTCACCTTTCCAAAAAACAATGTATCAGCAATAAAAGCCTCCCCTGTTTCTTCTCTTACCATCTACTTGCAAAGCTGCGAACGATGAAATAAGAGAAGAAAGCCATGAAATGGGAAAGATAGTACGGCTGTCAAACCATTTGATTCAACCACTCCATTGGCTTACTTCGTTTTTTCTTCTGCTCTAGCTTTTTGGGGTGGATCAGGCTCGGGTTTAAGGGTTTCAGTTGCGGGTTACAGATTCCACCATCTTTGTTTCCATCACAGCCGAATGAAAGAATTGTTTTTCTCCATCGCTGTTTGTCATTGCCCATTGCCAACGCCAATTTTTCCAAAGGATCTTCAAACCCGAATCGCAGCGCTGAAAGTCTTGGACTCGGACTATTTTATCTTCCATGGGCCGTGTTCCAAACAAGGTTTCAGTCCCGGGTTGAGCTTGTGAAGCCAAAGAGGCCTGAAACTATTGGGGAAGGTGGGCTTTTAAAAGACATTATTATAGGGCTTGAGTCTCGACAAAATCTATTCTAAAAAAAGTTTGGTTATTTGCCAAAAATAATTTGTTTTTCAATTAGGATAGTAGATATGTCTACTACTCTGCAAAAAATTTTTTTAGGGTTTTATTTGATGTATTGTTTATGTAAATTGTATATATTATCAACAAATTGGACGATGACATTTTATTAGTAAGGTGAATCAAATATTGTCACCTTATTAATGAGTGAATTTTTTAAAAATATTAATTTTTTATCTATTTTAAGAGATAATATTTATTTATTAATAAAATAATATCATCTTATTCATTTACAATTTAAAGAATTTATACATTAATAATAAATCACATATAAACTCATTTTTTTAATACAATTAGGGAGTATATTTTATACTTTTTTATCTAGGTTTAATCTTCTTTTCAGCGATTTTAAAGGCTAATATTTGTAAAATGCTTTATATGGTATTTATTTTAAAAAGGTAATTTATTTTCAAAATAAGAAAAAAAATTTCCAGGACATTTTAAACGAAAAACCATTTGAACAAATAGACTTGACAAATTAATTTTTTTCTAGATAATATAATTTTCAAAAACCCAAAGAAAATGGGATAAACTATATTATTATGAATATGAAATTCTAGAAATTTAAAACGAGTTAAAAAAACCGTATTTTGGAAGTTATAAGTTCAAATCTTGAAATGAATAGGGTAAGATTTATAGAGTAAAAATAATTGTTTCCCAATGTCATATGTGTTAAAAAATAAATATGTTACTCAACCCCTTACGCTTATAATTGACCCAAATCGATAGACCATCTTATGGTCATTTGCATATAGAATATAGAAGTTAGTAGAAACTGTAGAAAACAAAGGGAAACAATGTGAAAAAAAAGTGCTGCATGGGCTTAAGACAAGCGGCCATTCCGAAAGCCAAAAGGAGAACCTCCCGTCCCACGTGAGTTGTCCCGAGGCGAAGCGGGTGACCATCCGTCACGTGCTCTCACGTTATCGTAAATTTATAAAAAAGAACCCTATGTAATTGTACACTACTCTTATCACTTGGCCGAAGCACCCCAGAAAAGGCAAATAGATTGTGGATCCTCACCACGTGGCATTGACCACCGTCAGTTCGGGCTGTTTACACGACCCGAAACATTCACATGGGTCGCTGGCACCAGCACGCATGCAAAACCCCAATTTTGAAATTAAAAAAACAAAAATACCTACTAAAATAATTTATAAAATATAAAGTCCGGTAAAATGGAAAGCTCCACGTCACGCAACGCCACGTTCCCTTTTTCAGGCTCTCCTTTTAATTCAAGAAAAAAATAATGGAAAAAAGGTCGTCATAAAATTTTTAAAAAAATTAACTAAAATTATTTAAAATAATAATAAAATAAATATCTTCACAGCAATAATAATAAGAATAATAACACCTTATCCGCTCTTCGAAGCATACTCATCGCGTTGGGAACTTGGGATTGGTATCATTCAGTAGGGCCCCACTTTACTCTCATCTCTTCATTTCTCCTACTTGGCACGTGTTGCTCCACCAGCGTCCTAACAATTTGTTTAACATCGTTAGTTGCATCATGCAGCCGCATTTTTTTATATAGATTTTAACTTAACGACGTAACTCAAGCACTTTTTTCACATTAGATTGACTCGTTCGTAGTCCTACGTGTCAGTATGAGATGAAAAGTGAAAAACCGAAGTGGCTGGTCTCTCTGTATAGGTGGGGACAATGCTAGTAAAATCCTGACCGTCCAATTCATCACGTTGAGCTGTGATAATCGTGCTTGTTACTGGGGTACAAAAATTAAAAAAAAAAAGGATTATCAGAGAGGAAACTAAATAATAATAAAAAAAAAAGAAGTGTAATTAAAACTTATAAGCGCGACTCCCGAGGAAAATTAAAGCAGAGGAATCGGGCTACAAACTTGGACGCTAATGCACAAGGCTCAGCGGCAAACCTGCCTGCTAGATCGGTTCCTAAGGGTTGAATTTGAACACAATAAATAAATTTATCCCTAATCCTTGATTAATTAATTTGTTAATTACCTTTTTACCCAAATATTATATTCAGCTTTCAGCAAATAATTAATTCTGACAAAAAAGTTTGATTAAATTGCCCGTTGTCAGTGACCGGAGTTGTAAGCAATGAAGTAATGATTGTGTGCGGCATATGGTGTGATCATTGTTGTACACTTGCGCTATCATTGCCACCACCATCACGTGCACGTGCGGTTTTGATTTGTATCATCTAAACAAAAAATTCAGGATCTTCTCAAATGTGGCCCATTGATTTGTTAATCCCGTGGCCATGCCTTATTAGGATTATTTCTTAAAATAGATTTTAATTTAAAAATAATTATGAATATTAAATTTTAAATTTAGATATGTTGAATACAAATTTTTTATATATGATTATATAAGTTAATTAATTTGATTGAAATAATTTGAATTGTTTTGATAAATTCGCTTTAAGATTTTTAAATGAATTACTTTAATTTTTGCTTTGTTAAATTTATATTGGGATTTCTACATGGATTACTTAAATAACCATTCTAACATCATTGTTTTAGAAAAATATTTGATAATTACATTTCATGTGTAATCCATGTTTGTGAAAATTTCAATCCAATTTGGCAAAGTATTGTGATATTTACCACATGATATTTACACAAACTAAGCTATTAAAAAAACTGTAATTTTTTGTTCCTTAAAAAAAAAAACTCTAATTTGGTTTGAATGTAACTTAAGTATGACATGGAAGAAAAAATTACTAAATTTACATATACTTCGAGTAAAAAATTACGGGTAATTCCCTACAAAACTTTTGACTTTGCCTTCACCACTTTCCATTTTTAATTTTTGTATTGTTTACCACGATTTTTTATTTTAATAATATAATCAAAGTATTTTTAGATTTTGATTTGTTCTGATATTTTCTCGAATAATCATAAAAGGGCATTGTTTACCATGAATTAACAAAACATTTATTTCTACTTTTTTTTTAATAATAATCCAAACAAAAAAAAAAGTGAATTAAGCATAAAAAATCCCAAAAGAAAAAGGGCCCTAAAGTAACTTCTCACTAGATTTTCCTTTAACCCAATTAAAGCTTCTTTATTTATTTTTTAAATTCCATTATTATCACTTTTTTTTGTGCTTTTCTTTTTTTAAAATATTTTTCACGTCGTCAAAATCCTGCATTTACCTGTCCGTCTGTCCCCTTCAAACGCAAATAAACCTTCTTTCTCTCTCTCCTCAAAACCACAACTCTCCCACACTTCTCTCTCTCTACACTCACATTTTCCTCACTATACTCTGCCTATCCCACCCCTTAATCTCCCTTTAACGCAAACAAGGAAAAAGAAAAAGAGAAGAAAAAAACTAAAAATTATGGAAGCGCCCGAAAAACCTGCGACCGGTGACCATTTCATTGTGGAGGACTTGCTCGATTTTTCCAATGAGGATGCCGCTATAACTGATGATGCATTCGACTCCTCCGTTGCTGGCAACTCCACGGATTCCTCCACCGTTACGGCCGTCGACAGCTGCAATTCGTCGTCGTTTTCAGGTTGCGAACAGAATTTAGCGGTTAATATTGGTTGCCGAGGTTTTACTGACGGTCAGTTCGCCGGTGACCTTTCTGTGCCGGTAAGTTCTCCCCTACATGCAATAATGTGATCGGTTAAAAAATTTTAACAGAAAAAAAATGAAGGTTTGAATTTCACCCTTTTTTTTTAATTTTCGCTACGAGCCAAATTAAAAAAAGTATAGTAAAATTTTAGACTTAAATTTTTACGTATTTTTATTTTTTTATAAATTTCCCGAAGAACAAACAAAGGATAAAGACCCATGTGCATGGCATATGCAATTTGGTGAAAATTGTGTGAATAGTGACAATAGTTTCTTAATCAAAAGTACTTCAAATTTGAAAAAAAAAAAAAGTGAAAATGACAATGAAAATGAAAAATTGCTAATAATTATTATTTTTTTCTTTTTGAACAGTACGAGGATTTAGCTGAGCTCGAATGGCTGTCGAATTTCGTAGAGGAATCATTTTCAAGTGAGGACCTGCAAAAGCCTCAGCTGATATCAGGAACGAAAACCCGACCCGACGAATCATCAGAGGCCCCAGGGTTCCAACCCGCTCTTCCCAACCAAATTGACAACGCCATTGATAATGGTGACAAGCATGGTAACAACAACAACAACTCGATTTTCCATCCGGACATGTCGGTTCCGGCCAAGGCCAGAAGCAAACGGTCCCGGGCTGCGCCATGCAATTGGGCCTCCCGCCTCCTTGTTCTCAGCCCAACAACTTCATCTTCCGAACCTGAAATTCTGGTTCCGGTCCAACCACCCCCCCAGAACCACCCCGGCAAAAAGCCCGTCAAAACGACCTCATCGAAGAAAAAAGATGTTGGCGATGGCGGTGGTGTTGCGAATCCGGATGGCCGGAAGTGCCTGCATTGTGCTACGGATAAGACGCCGCAGTGGCGGACTGGGCCCATGGGCCCAAAAACATTATGCAATGCTTGTGGAGTTAGGTATAAATCGGGTCGGCTTGTGCCCGAGTACCGACCCGCTGCGAGCCCGACATTTGTGCTGACTAAGCATTCAAATTCTCACCGTAAGGTGCTTGAGCTTAGGCGACAGAAGGAAGTGGTAAGGGCCCAACAACAACATCAGCAACAATTCATCCATCATCATCATCATGAGGACATGGTTTTTGATGTATCCAACGGCGATGATTACTTGATCCACCAACACGTGGGCCCTGATTTCAGACAGTTGATCTAGTAGTAGGCGCAGAGTAGGGAAATTTTAATGAGCTCTTAAAATTTTTTTCCTAACTGTTTGTTTTTTTTTTTTTTCTCGTGAGAATTTTCTTAGACTTTTTAATGTTCCAGAGTTGTTTTTTTTTCCCAGCCAAATTTGGCAAGCTGTTGAAACCCAATTTTCTCAATTCAGGTAAATTAGTAATTTTTTGGTTTGCCCTTTTGATTCTTGCTTTGACTTCTTCAATTAGAATTTGACTTTCTAAGCTCCTAAATATTTACCAATTGCTTTATATTTGAACTTCCCCAATTAATATTGAAATATCTAAAACTTTCTAAATGCAATATATATTTTTTGTATTTGAGATGCTATAATTTAAATCTTGATATCAATAATTAATATTTTAATATTTTATTAATAGATTATTGACGATACAATATATATTTAATTGGCCATATGGGATAAGTTGGCATGTGATCAGTGTATTGTTTCATTCATATATAATTACACCTCATTTACAAAATAAAAAACCCTACGGTTTAAACCTGGTTTTTTCATTTCGATAGCATATTTCTCACTTCTTTGGGAAGTTAAAAACTTGATATATATACTTAATTTTGTTGTAAAGTGAAGCAGAAGCAAAGAGGAAAACCATTAATTTTATCAAGAATTAATTCTTGATATATCTTTGCAAGAAAATTGATGTCACGCTTTAATTTCAGCCATCCAAGTATGTTTCATTGCAAATTAGTTTACAATCTGAATATATATATATATATATAAGTTTCTTTGTTGCTTTACCAATCTCATAGTATTTAATAATTTAAGGCCACTTGCCACCCCTTTCATCTACTAAAGATTTGGTCTAACAGAAACAGAAAGTCAAGATTCATCACCTACCTTTTTTTTTTTTGCATGAATTTCCACAATTCACATGGAGTATTTTTTTTTTCTCAAATATTGCCTTAAAACACAAGAAAGAAACATATTTCAAGGTCCACCCCCCACCGGAAGGTAAATGCAAACCTTTTTCAAGGTCAAAACTTAAAAGAAAATGAACCCCAAAGGCCAAAGTTGATGTTTTTAAGGCCAATGTTCATATCCCAACGCACCAAATTTAAGAGCTCGTGGGAAGAAGAAAATTGAGTGGTTGGAGATTGATTACTATTCATAAAGTGAATTACTAAGACTGTGAAACCTATCAAAATAAATTTCAGCGAAAATGAAATGCTGATGTTAATGCAGCTTTTACTAATCCCTTTTTTAACATTATTTACTTGAATCCCTCATTGGCGATCTTACCTTTTCTTTGCACAAGTTTCCCCAACTTGGTGGACTACCAGAAAATGAAAAAAGAAAAAAATTCTTATAGCATGGACATGGAAATTCAGGTTTTGACGAATATTATTAAAAAAAAAAAAAAAACTTTTGGGTTTTTGAAACTAATTAGTGCGAAGATGTGTTTCATATGAATCTTCTCAGTTCAATCATTGTTCATTACAAGAGTTTAACCGTTTCTTCTCCAAACCTATGGTTTTCGTTTGTCTTTGTTTGTTAAAACAATCGAAATAATACAAATTTCTGGTAATAGAGTTGTTAATATATGCTTTTACAATATATATGTTTATATAAAGCAAAGTTAGCGGTGGTCACATGCTTCTCTCTTCTATTCCGCATGCAAAAGGGTCTGTTCTGATCGGTGACTATTTTTGTGAATTTTTCCTTTGCAAAATGCAATAAAGTTAATCTCATGAATGACCCTATATTATAATGACTTTAAAAAATTCCAGAAGGCTTTGAATGATGGGCGTTCATGTATAGCGGTTAATTCTCCATGTTCATTTGTAAAGAAGAGGTCCTATTTTCGCAACCACTTCTGCTGTCGATGACTCGGCAATTGGCAGCTCCCCCTTCATTTGAGATATTAAACTTTTCTCTGTTGCCCTGACTGACATGGAGGATCCAATGACTCTACCATTGAACCAAGTTCATCGCCCTTTTTGTGGTAAATAAAGAAAATCAAGTGTGATAAAAGATTATGGCAGTAATTCCGATCCCAATATCTCTCATACGATCAGGGATGTCTCTAGATTTTATCTTAATCTAATTTCTTTATCGAATAAACTGTCATTTTTTAACTTAAACTATGATTGCCTTAAAAGCTTACTCCAAGGGATCGAACATGATCAGGGCCACATGGAGGAAGATTTTGAGGAGCTGAGAGTGGGGATTTCTTTACTGACCACAGTGAATTCAGCTGGCTTTCATTTCTTGTCGATTGTTTGGAACCAGGCAGGAAAGAAAAAGGATAATCAGAGAGGGGGACGGTTCGACCATGCAACATGCAAAACATTATCCAATTTCTTCCTCTGTGATGGCTACTGTACTGGGTTTGAACGTGCATGGATGAAAGCACATGGTCGTTTTTACAAATACGTCTACATGCGGAAATAGCAACAAAAAGAAAAAAAAAGTACAATGCTAAGGTCTTTGGGAGATCGAAAGGGAGAGCCCCCACATGCTAATGTTCTGACTTAGGGGTGGAGACATGGCGCCATAGCCAAGGCAACTTTCAAAGAAATGGGAGACACGGGGACACCATCTCATCCCTATCTAGTTTCTCACGTGCACTTCTTGTTGATTAGGAAGACAAATAAAGTAATCAAAAGAACATGGCTTTCTTTCGAACTTAAAGTTCCTTCTAAATCTTACCTACTTAAGAAAAGTGAACAAGGATTTACATCAAACCCAGAAAGGGGAAGACTTACCCTTTCAGGTAGGATCGAAGTTTGTATCTCCTATCAGGGATTTACACATGATGCTAAGGACTGAAAATGAACTTAAAGGCAATCAGGAATCTTTTACCAGCAGAATAGGATAAGAACAGAAAATGAAATCATGCACCCATTCATTGCTTTCATTTTTCATTACCCCAATATGAATTTATTTAAACAAAACGACACGGTTAAGTGATTGGAATCAATAAATTCATTAAATCCACCATAACTTTAAACCAAGAAAGAAGTTGAATAAATGGCAAAGCGATTTTATTCTTTAAAGTAACAAGATCAAAGAATCCTTGGAAGAAGATTGAAATCTAGAGAGAAAATTTCCATAATTGGGAGAATCAGGGAATAGAATTCTTGCAGTGTCTGTTGTGTCCATTATCCAGGACTTTCAAAATTTACTTCAAACAATAACGAAAAGGACATACTTGTCAAATAAACTAAATCTCCCAATGGACACACAAGAAGGAAAGCAATGACCTAATCCATCATGCCTCACTTCCTTCCACTTTTGATATGTTATCGAGGCACACCAAGACCGAGTTCTGTTCAAAATTTAAAAAATCCCAATAATTTAGCATTAGCATTTAGCAAGTGCCAGAAAGAACTAAAAAAAAGGTTTCTTCGAGTCAACAAATCATGAATAAAGCTACTTCTCATATAACAATCACCAGGGTCCAGAAACAAACCAATGTTTGCTAAAAATATTTAAAAGCATGGTGAATGTTGAGTTAAGCAACTCCTATCAAATAGCAAGATGAGAAATTAAGAAATTAGCCTAGCAAAACATAAAACTAGACCTGGTTGGCTGCGGCACTTATATATTACTAGAGCAAAAGTTATTGGCACATCTACAATAGATAAGAGATAACTTGGAAGAACAACCAAACAATGAACTAATAGCACTGGCCAAAAAGACTTGAAAATTGGCCTCTAATTTTAAATTTTGTTCTGAATTCCATAGGCAATTGGACTTTTAGTATGCATAGTCAATGCTAGACCAGATTTCAATCTTAAAATTTGAATAAAAGAGCATAATCTTTGCATTTCATGAAAATGCAGACCACTAAACTGCAGAAAAGAAACAAGTTTGAACAATTCTAATGGCCCTGCATTCCATATAAAAGAATCTTTCACATGGATCTCCTGCCATTAAAATTTAAAAGATCAAATTCTTCCCCTTAACCAAACAGGCTATCCATTTATATAGTCCAAGTACATGGTCCGACACATACAAAACTATATCTCACAAATTATAATGTACATTCAATTATTCATTTCAATAAGAGAACCTACAAAGTTTTGCCTCGACAGCTCCATCAATATCAATTGACAATGAGGATAGAAAAGGGCCCTCGGTTGTAAAACATTCTTCATTGATAGAGAATAATCATACAAGCTTAAAATCATGCTGAAAAGAAAAGACAGAACAAATGCTACAGAATGTAAAACAAAATAGAGAGCTAAGGACTTATTATGTATACAATATAATGGTCAACATAGCTAGAATCCGTATTTCCAATATTATTAGTGTAGCAGTTTATAACAGAATCTTCAACTTTGACTAACAGAGAAAGAACTATCAATAATTTTCAGTGCATTGCTTAAAAAGTCATAAATCATACACAACCTTCTCAAACCATGTGCAAGCTCTCCAACTCAGGTTGTGTCTTTGTTTGTATCTACCCCTGTTCCAACACACCCAACTTAGCAAATCATCATACATGTACATTTAGTCTCACTCACTTGTTACCACAATTTAAATTCTCCACCAAGTTGTCTAGCTCTTTTTTCTTTGTTTTTTTTTTTTATTTTTTTGGCTGAGACCTCTTTCTGCTAATCTCTATTAGAATCACTTCATTCCAGACCCACACTTTCTTCTAACACAAAAATTGGGTTTTTTCAGAGACAAGCCTAGTTGGATGACATCGGATGCAGATGTCCTGAACTTAAGCAGTTGAAAACGTGAAGTATTTAATTTGTACTCTATCACAAACTTCTCATCATTTCCCCTTTCCTACTTGCTTAATTCTTTGCTTACAGAATTACAGAGACCCACTTTCTATCGGTTTAGATCAACAACAAAGAACAGATAAATGTTCTCAAATTGATAGCTTTAGTTGAGAATTGATTGGACATGAATATCATGATCATTGGATATGACAACCTAAACAAACAACATAGCTTTGTTAATTAATTATAGAGTTAAAAAAGTTGCTTAGGGAAACAAAATTACAAACGTTTTGGAGATTATCAAACCCCTGGATTTGCACTGCAAAGCATACCCTGAGACAAAGACCTCGAGCTCCTTGAATCGATTCCCAGACACGACGTCAGCCGAGCTGAGGACACCGCTGAGTGGAGAGGCAGCAGAGATTGAAGACAACCCAATTGAGAAACCGACCTGAAACATTTAGAAGCAAAATTTTGGTAATTTGAAGGAAACCCAAATTCAAAAACGGAGAAAACTACAAGGGTTAAGGGTCTAAAAGCAATAAATTTGAAGAAATTGAAAGGGACATGTAAAGATCAAGTTTCTTAAAGGGCTTGCCTTGAAAGTGTGGGAGAAGAGCGAGCGGGAAAGAAAGTAGCGGCGGAGTTGGGCTTAAGGGTTGGCTTGTTAATGGTAGATTTGAGGATAGAGAATGTTGGTTTTGAGACAGATCTAAAGCGAAACGCCATTTTGGACAAGACAAAGCAAGAGTTCAATGTTAGGTTGGGATTTTGGAGAAAAAAGGGGATTCTCAAGGGTTTTTGTGGGGTTTTACGTTTCAATGGGGGAAATTTCCAAAAGGTGATACAGAGGATATTAATTAAACAGTCAGTCTCGCTCTCAAAGTATTGCAACTAATCCAACGACTATTTAATTTTAAAAAATGGCATTTTGGCAAATTGAAAATTTGGGTTTTGTCAATCCCTCAATTTCTGTCCCTATTCTTTTTATTTTGCTAATTGTAAAAAATAATTTTGGTAACTTTTTTCTTCACCCTCTTTTTTATACCTTTTGGTTCTATCTCTATATTTTAATATCAGTATTTTTTTTTCTTTATCATTCAAAATTATTAAATTTGCTTAAAGAGAAGGATTATATATATATATATATATTTGAAATTACAAGTATAAAATAAGTTATGACAATAATAATAAAATATTACATCAACATATAAGAAAATCTTTAAATGATTACTTAACAAACTAGAATATAATTACATAAATTTAATATAAAATTAAATAAAATTTACATATTATGAAATTTGAATTTAAAATTTTAGAACTATAAAATCTCTTCTTTATCATTAACCAAGGCTTCATTGGCAAAGAGAAAGGTTACATTAATGTAGCATGGCAAGCTTCAATGTTCGTTTAATATAAAAAACATCATAGTATTGATATATCTTAAAAATTTTATAAATCAATTGAATTAAGTATAGAGTTCATTTTTAATACTAGAAGTAATGTAATTACCAATTCATAACATGCCACATGCATTTTTTTTCTTTATACTTTTTTTATGCCAATTATTATTATTATTATTATCATCATCATCATCATCATCCAAGAATCATTCTAAAGTTCAACCATAACATTTTTATAAAAATATCTTTCATTTTAATAATCTTCATCATGTTCAAATAATAATAATAACAATGAAAAATCTTCTAGCATGTTTGAATACTTATAATTTTTTAATGAGAAAATTGGGAATGAAAAAAAAAAAAAGGTTAAATACACCAAATTTTAAATATTGGTATGTGCCTTCACAATTATTCAAATTGAATATTAATATACTTTTATTAAAAAATTAAGAGATATGTATTATGTTAATAATTACATATCTTATAACATATTAAATTTTTAATATCAATTATCAAAATTTAAATTTTAGTAACCCCAAACATAAAAGAGTAATGCGTCATTTTGCATGTGACAAATTTTCAAAAACTAATTGGATATCTTTTACATGCCATGGGGCTGAAATGTAAATTCCAATTAATGGCCCATTTTTTCAATTACTTAAGGGCTTAAGGCCCACACTTCGGACCAGGTCCTATCTTCCGTCCCTTCCATTCGTTTAACCCAAACCCAACAGCCCAGTGAAAGAAAAGTAAGCTGAAAAATGGGTTCGCCCTCGGCAGTGACAGCAGTTGCTGCAATTCTCCGCAGATTAATCCCTCGAATTCCTTGATTGTTTCCAGAAATGGCCTATTACAATGCAGTCCGAAATTGTTATCATCAGCATCCTCAATGTCATCGTTCACTTCAATATTGTATAAAGTTAACACGTACAGCAATGAGCATCAACTTGTAGTTAGTGCATGAATCACAATCTTGGCTGCATTTTTTGCTCGTTTTAGCTGAGGCTTACCTAGAGGACCTTCAGATTCTTCATCCCATTTCAACCCTCTTTGAGAATGATGGAGGAAGAAAGGGGTGGGTGATTTCACCTTATATCACAGTTTAAAACAATCTTTTCTTTTAATTCTTTTTACAAATTCTAAAGGGCAGTCATGGCTAAAACTGTTGGATTTTATCTTGAATTTCATGATCTTCCATTGAAAGTTAAAGTGAAGTTATAAGAGTTTGAATTATCTTGTATCTTATACTGAGAGTTTAGTAAAAGTATAATGGGTTTCACCCTTATAAATAAGATATTTTAATTTTAGTTTAGTAATTTCAGATAGTTAAATATTAAGAGAATAGCTAGGTAAGTAGACTATTAAAAATATTTAATTGAGTTTTGAATAAAGAGTTTTTGATGATTTTTTTATTTAAAAGTCTTATAATTGTATTATGTTTGGAGTAAATCATTTTGTGTTGGATCAAAATAAATTTATTTGTGTGTTGTTATTCTTGATTTGAACTTATTATTTTATTTGTGGGTATTGCGCGTGTGCATTGATTTCCTAAGAAACCATCCTTGCTACTTTTTTTTTACATTCAAATTATTTTATCATGAATTCATGATTAAATGCCAATAATTCACTCTGCTTTAACACTAATAAACGATTGAAATTTTATTATTTTTGCTTACATATGGTCAAGAATATATCTTTTAACTTCTCCACAGTCCACACTATATGTTCCGTTTCTTTTCTTGTTGTTTTTTTTTTTTCTGGTAATTACTCTCCATATTAATATTTACACCTCGCGTTAATGGCATCAAATGCATAGATTTAGCATATGATAAGGCTTTCTCCAGCATTTGGCCCGGTCCATGATATATGATCATTGCATTAGGTGCAAATCATTAGCAGCTTCTGGATTTGATGAAGGTTCAGTGGTACTGATTTTATTTCTTGGGAACCCAACATCCATGAAGCCCATATGGTAGACCATAAGGGAGCTTTGCTCTTGCAATTTCTTCGAATGTTGATCCGTCCAACAATAAAGGATAGCCACTTCCATTTTTCTCACTAATTAGGAAGATTACAACACCTGCAAAGAGCAAAAACAAAAAGGAAAAAGGAAAAAAATGGTCAGGATATATTAATCACATCAAATTAAAATCCATGTTCAAGATTACATCAGAAAACCAAACTTTAAATTCCAGAGAATAGGATCAATAGCTCACCATCATCTTCCTCGGTCGCCCCAGGCCGAGCCACAAAGAATGGTTCGGATGGCACAGCCCCCTCATCATGCCAATTCTTTGCCTTTTTATTTACAAAATCAAGCTGAAATAGTATAAACAAATAAACTTAAGCACAGTTTTAGAGGTTCAAAGTCATCATTGTAAGTTAAATAAATTACCTTGGTGAGCGAATTGGGAAAGTGGCATGGGCGTTGGGCTCCACAAGCATAAGCATATCTGTACTTTTTACCCAAATTGGCGGGGTTGATGCTGCACATGTCCATGCCTCTGCCATGTTCATCCGGGTCCAATGCTGACTCCAACTTCCTATAGGGACTCCCATCCAATGGAATTGTGAATCTTCCGACCCTGCTAACAGATTATTTCCACCATTGAATTTATCTCTGTCCATCGTATATAGTCCTCGCCTCTACAGTCGTATTATTAGGAAGTCCTTTAATCTATAGTAAGCTGACAGAAAGCTAAGGCCATATATAGACAGCCTAATTTGTAGCGGTCTATTTATGTCTAAGGATGTGATTTTTTTGCTACCTGTCCAGCTGCCTACATCTTTCGACCTCAGCTACATATACCTCAGCTACATATGAGTACGATCTATGCATATTCTTGAAAAGCATGCATGCAGGATTCGGAGTTTAACGTGCAATGCTCATTTTGATTCGGGTAAATCTCTTGAATCAAAATCAAAATTTAAGTGAAAAGTACTAAAATATTTATGAACTATAATATAATTTTAATGTATTAGATGATTATGTATAAAATTGTCTTCCCATGGGGTTTGATTAATGGTTTCAGGATTTTAACGATGAAGTAAGAAATTCCATGAGCACTAGCACATTATCAGGGTGCAAACCAAATAAAAAAAAGGTATGTTTCAGTTGTGATTGTGAAGGTAATTGTATATATACTACCTTGCACCTGGTAGTACGTCCTCCCCATTGAAAGAGCGGAGGTTTTGAAGCCTAAGCTGATCCAAAATCGTGGGGTCGGCGTTGTGTTCACAACAATCAGCGATGATAGCAGTCACTCTCCCATCTTCATCTTCCTCTTCGTACGCATTAATGAAGTGAAATGTCATGAATAATGGCACTTCCACACTCGCCACCTTCAAATTTTCCACAAAATCAATTAAAACGTACGTACTAAAATGAATAAGACATATAGGAGGAAATCAAAGAAATGGACACTTACGATTTTTCCACTAGCTTTACACATGACATGAAGAAAGGCTTTGGATTCAGGATGCCACTCGAATTTGTACAATGAAGTAGTTTCAGCTCTGAGTAAACTTTGTGCACGGTACCTCAATGGCATTTCAGGCACAATAACATAATGCTCAGTCACCGCAAACGAATGGACCCAACCTGGAGCTGGTCCGCCTTTGCAGTTGACCCTTCCAATCACCTTTCTTTCATTTGTCCCCGGCTCCATTCTCACCACCAAGTATCCAGGATTCACCAAATCAGGCAACAAGTTCAAGAACTCGGCTTCTGTCACTATTGGATGTGACGAATGTATCAAGCCCCCCAGGCTGTCACCATATTCAAACCTTCCGAGCATTTCCAAGCTGTACGGGTCGATAATTAAGGACCCTTTTTGAGTTTCTGTCAAGCAAACAACACGTCGATCTCCAAGCTTGACGACGCCCGTGTTGGCGTTATCTGTTAAAGACGCGCCAGAGGAGAGCTTTGCCAGGTCTCCAACATAGGCCATGGAGTTTTCATATATACTTAGGATCTTCTGAGAATTCTCCGAAGCAAATCTTTTTATTTTTCCTTGCAGCCTTATAGGCTTCCGATTCAATTTGTCGGTGACCGGCGATTAACTGGCCGTTCTCAAAGTGGAGTTTGACTAGTGTCGCATAGCCGTCAAAGAGGTGACGGAAGTTGTAATCTTCTATGTGCCATATACCTGGGCCGTTTCTGAGGTACGTCCCTTTCTGCATGTCATTAGGGTAGATTAATCAATCATTTAAATAATTCACGAAAGAGAAAGAATAAGCACTTGATATTGATTTTTATGTTCACAAATCTCTAGTATAGAAAGAAATATTTTTCGACTTTTGATCAACCAAAAGTTTTTGTTATCCTAAATATATTCATATCATCAAAGATTTTATGACATGTAGTCTATAGTTTATACATGACACAAAGGACATTATGATTAATTATGTCTGCTGATCAGTTATTGATAATTTTTTAAAATTATTTTTTCGGGATT